TTCCAAGGAATAGGTGAACTCCTGTGAAATCAGACTTACATAGGGTTGGTTTTGCCCATTAGTGGGTGAATGATGAAGGAAGTTAGCTAAGAATGATGACAGTGGACATGTCTGTCAGACACTAATGGTCTCTGACTTGATCGAGTCTCCTCAGGTGTTCTGTTAATATAAGTTCATTACACAAAACTATCTGAACTATCTACTGTAAACAATGGTCTTCTCATCGCATACTAAGTAGTATTCCTATTAAAGGTGGTTAGATTTACATCAATAAATTGTCAGAGAGTGATTACATATTGTCAGATAAGATCTCCTTTACACTTCACTCTCATTCTATGAAAGTGCTCAAGTTTCGTTCATATTCAACACTTTTCATGTCAACAGGAAAATGATATAAGCAAACAAACAGAGTAGTATCCCTTATCGCAACAAACCTCTTCATATCACACATTGAATCTATGATCTCTCTGTTAACCCTAATGAATCACATATTTCACTCAGATATATATGAAAACGCAAGTCTAATTTTGTCTATCTATCGCCGATCAGCACATATCTTGATTTGAAGTCAGCATATCCACGCAGTACTAATCTTTCACTTGCTTGGAAGAGATGGAAAAGGCAATGGCGATTGGTAACGGTAGACATTTATTTAGACTCATTAAGAAAGCTAGGGGGAAAAGGTCAACAATGGTTAGTGAGACTATAGCGGAGAAGGACGGATCTGCAGTTGACAAGTCCAGTTAGCTGAAGACACTGATTGATGAGATGCAAGTGTTCTGTTTGGGATGCATTTCTCACCACCCAAATGCAAATTGCTGCTCTAGAATTGGTCTTCAACGGTGCCCCACCAAGGCTGACAGTAGACAGTGAGTGTAGTGGTTGAGTGTATGGACCACTTCACTTACCTGGGAAGTGGGATCAGCCCTAGTGGCTAGCTTAGTGGCCGATGAAATCTCTGCATGTATACAAAAGGCTTGATTGGCTGGCTTTTGCCAATTTACGTCACCTATGGCGCGCCGTGAATCCGTTTGTCTATTAAGGGTGGCGTGTACTGCACAGTAGTCCACTCTCTTCTACTCTATGGCTATGAAACATGGCCATTAAAAGTGGAAGACATGAGAAGGCTTGCTTCAAGTGTTTGACCACCGTTGCCTTCGTAGTATAGGTAGCTGTTTTCCGTGGTGTCACCATGTGAGTAATGCAGACCTCAGGAGTAGAGTTTTAGGGAGGGAGTAGAGGTAAATCAGTTGATGACGAGGTTATGAACCTTCATCGACTAAGATGGTTGGAACACGTGTTACGCATCCCTAATCACAGATTGCCTCGTCACACAATGTTGGCTGAAGTAGGTCCAGGGTATGAAAAGGCCCGAGGTGGCCAGACTAAAGCATGCCACAAATGTATGAAGTCTCTGACTATTGGTCTGAGCCATGTTGGGGGGGGGGGCGTAATGCAACTAGCTGGTTGGGGTCTGTGAGACAAGAGGAACTAGTGGTTGGAAACTGACTCCAGGTGATCACATGGCTGAGAACCGATGTCAGTGGCACAGATGTATACACACACACATTATCCTCATCTTAACGACGCTATACCGACTCTCACCATTATGTCATTCTTCCTTTCTCTCTTCTCGTACTTTATATTTCTTCTAACTGAACTTTCTTATCTTCATCATGCCCTCACTGCCTTTTTAATTGATGTACTGATATGGCGTGTGTCAAGTGGGACCGTTATACAGTAATGCCTGGTCCTATGTTGATACTGATGATGATGATGCTTGGAACTTATTCAATACATCGAAAGAGTTCATCAGGAATGAAGATGACAGATAAACAAAAGTAGATGTGTTACATTCCTCCTATAACTACTCTGACAGTATCCTCCAAGATGAAAACCAAATGATGATTCCTAGATTCCTATAGTACTTGTACTAATCTTACCAAGGTTTAATTGAAGCATTTCAAAGGATTTTAAGAAGATATGGAATGATATCATTCACCGGATAATCAACACTCTTAGAAATGCTTTAGTCCAGTTAAAAGATAAAATTCTTTTTTATCTCTATACAGAATTGTATCTACTAGTTAGACTGTGTTGATTGTGATGTCTATATATTATACTGGAGAAACATCCATCCCACAAGATCCTCAGTTGTACTAAAAAAGAATATGCAAGTACCAACAAACGATAGCCAAATTTCACATTATTATTATTATTTTTTCCCCTTGGGTTCCTAGTCGAACATGCGGCTTCAGTAGCACACCTCCATTCCACTCTCTTCTCTGCAATCTTTTGAACCGGGCTCCACGACAGCCCAGCAGCTCTCATTTCTTCCTCACACCATCTCCTCCATGTCACCCTCGTCTCGGAAGCCCAACTCGTCGTTTCCCCTTTGGATTACATTCGACGCACTGGTGTGACACGTGATGTTTCCAATCGGCCTTCTCAGTGTATGCTCAGTCCATCACCACCTCCTGCTTCTGCATATTTGTTGAATGATAGGTTGTTGGTTGGTTAGTTGGTTCATTGTTGCTTATTGTTTCTGGCCATCTCATCTGATCCTCAGTATGGAGTGAGCGTAGGTGGCAGATGTCCATGTATGTATGGTGTCTGTAGTTTGTTGGAAGTGGTTTTCGTGACACGCCAAGTTTATGAACTATCACATAGCAGCACTGACTTGACTGGATTGGTATTGAAAATCTGGATGTTGTTCATGCTTTATGCTGAGTACAGTGCAGTAGATCTCCACACTGATTTCAAATTAATGCTGAATTTTAATCCACTCATTCAACAGAATGGAAGGCTGAACTATCCAACCACCAAGTTGGATAGTATATTCAAAATATCGTGAACTGACAAAAGTTGTTAATATGAACCATTGGATTTTGATCCATTCAGAGTAACGTGCTGGCTGTGGAAGCTGAAGGTCCTGGGTTCGAAACCTGCAGGTGGAGTCGTGTGGTGCGTACTGCTGAGGACTTCCATACAAGGACAAATCAGCTGTATAGTCCTCACAGGTTTTCAGCGTTCCTCTAACTAATGTCAGTTCATGATGAATATCAACTTTGCATGTTGCACATAATCATCATAACAGAAGTACATAGGCACACAAAACAAACCAAATTCGCTATCATGTAGAGTGTTTTTACCTCACATTCACATCTTCACGTTGAGCTTCAGGCCAAAAACGGATGACAATGATATTCATGTCCGTATTGGTTTCATCTTGGAGCATTGGAAACCTGGGAGAACTGGACAATTATTTCGTCTTAGTATAGGTATCCCCAGTAGTCGGCACCCATGACCCTACCTTCGTCTATGGGTCCAACTCAGGAGTTCCAGGTTGCCAATGACCAGCATTCAATGTTCCCTATTTTCTACTTCTATCAGTTCACGATACAGCGCGACCCCCATCCAATGTCGTCATTGAATAACTGTCCTCATATTCAGCTTGGTTGCCCCTCCCCATATATTTCATTTTACTCAGATTTTGATGATTAACATATAAGGGAAGTCATTGATCCAGGTTACAGGAGGAAGTGAATCTCAATAGGTTCTTAAAGCGTAAAATTTAAATGTACACTTCTAATGTCTAATTTACCATTGGATTTTTTTTGCAATGTTTACTTGAATGGAAGACCATAGAAGAAAACAGGAGGATGAATCAGCCTCTTTTTAACCTAACTTTGGTTTCTTCGACTGTAGTCATGATAGATGCATTTCTACTGGTTGTTTTAGACGGCTAGGTATGTTATGAACTGCTCAATAAGTGGATTTATTGTCTATATCATTATCGGTATTTGTTATGTGTGACTGTGAATAGCTAGTAACCTTCGTCATCTCATCTTTTATCAACTACACTAGTAAGCGTCCTCTCACACCTAGCGACAGAGACATCAGAGTGTGTCCAAGATAACTAACCACTAGAATAGTTGAACTTATAGATGTTGAAGTGACCAAGTCAATAATAATAACAGTAATATATATTTTGAGATGAATGGGGATTTTTAATTTTAGAAGTAGTATTCATCATGGACTGGCATCACTTGCGGAACCATTGAAGATCTGGGAGCACTGGACACTTGTTTCGTCAGACTAGTATGGGACTCCTCAGCAGTACGCACCCACCACCCGGCTAACGGTTGAACTCAAGATCCTTAGGTTTCACGGCGAACGCGTTAACCATTCAGCCTGAAGGACCTGAGTTCGACTCCAAGCCGGGTCGTGGGTGCGTAGTGCTGAAGAGTCACATGCTAGGACGAAACAGCTTTCCAGTGCTTCCAGATTTTCAATGGTTCCCCAACTGATGTCAGTCCATGATGAATACTACTTCTAATAATAATGGAAACGAAACAAGACACCTGGACAGGATATCAGTAGTTATTGTTCTTCCTCAGACCCTTGATACTTCAGAGAACCACGAAAATCAGAAGATAAAAACCGGCTTTTCACTGGAAAGAATACTACTTGATTCAACAACAAAAAAACATCATTTATATACATTTTTTTCCTCAGAAAATAAAGCTACTAGGTCACAAGCTGCATGATTATTTTGATTGGTCTATTGAAGGACAAAATTGTCTAATGAGGTTTTTCTCTGCCCACATACAACTTCTACCTTAATGCTGAATGACCTTGAATGGTGATTTCGCTTCTCAGCAATATTTCGTCATGATAATAACAAATTTATGAGGGAAATTTGATTTTCACGTTGAAATTGGCTTGTATTTACGGTGTAGATAGAATTGTACTTTGAACAGTAGCACCTGATGAGAATACATTTATTGATCGGCATATATTGTTCATTCAGATTGTTACTTGTTATAAATGTTTGAAATCTTATAATTTGAATGATATAGGTAGGTTATTGATTATCTGTAATGGCTGGCTGGCTGATGAATGACTCAACTCAACTTTAGCATAGATTGATTAATGATGTGTGTGAAAAGATCATAACCAATAGGAAACAGCCACCATATATGATATTGATTAAAAAATCAATAAAAATCATAATCGAGTATTTTTGCGCAGGAGTCCAATTGAAACTTGAAAAGTAATAATAAATGAAAATCTCAATAAATATTGCTTGGAGCATTAGTAAGTAGTAGGTAAGTTGTAAGTACCTGCAACTACACCTCGCTAGGACTCGAACCTAGAACCTTCGGGTTACAACTGAATCAGCCATTTGGTTGGAACCAAATGGTCCATACTGTTCTACTTCTCCCAGTTCACAATGTAGCGCAATACTTATCCAGCGTTGTCGTTGAATAACTGTCCTCATGTTCGATTTGGTTGACCCCACCAGTCACGACTTCTCACCCGATTATTTCAATTTTGAGGTCTCTGGGGATTTATTGATTGATTTTGGGTTGGTCTTCATTATGTGAAGTCTTTAGGATGAGTTTTAAAAATTCACTCTATTAAAAGGTATCTTCAACTGTTTATCTAAGGTAAGTGGACTGATAAACATGACAGTCATAAATGTTTGCCTGGTATTATTATTACATTATTTGTCCCTTGGGTTCCTAATGAAAAATAGGGCTTCAGTAGCTCGTCCCCATTCCACTCTCTTCTCTGCAATCCTTTCAACCTGGCTCCACGACTTCCCAGAAGCTCTCATTTCTTTCTCATACTATCTCCTGCATGCCACCATCGGATATCTAACTCGTCGTTTCCCATGTGTGTTCCACCCGAGTGCCTGCTTTGACTGAATTAGTGCTGAAAATCCGGATCTTGTTCACGCTTTATGCTGAGTGCAGATCTCCACACTGGTTTCAGGTTGATGAACGCCTGTCTTGCTTTTGCGATCATTGCTGGCTTTAACGTCCTCGTCTGGGCTTGTGCCGTCTGTAGTTGAAACAGTGCTGCCTAGATAGATGAAAGAGGCTACCTTCTTTAAGTTGATGGTGATTGGAGCTTGTTCGTGGTGGTGGTGGCGTTGGTTGGGTATCTTCATCACCTCCCTCTTCTCTACGTTCACTTGAACTCCCGTTTTCGCTGCCCTGTCTCTCTGTCAACTTGTTAGTTTTCGCCAGTAGATCTTCAAGTTTGTGTGACACTAGACATAAGTCAACATTGGTGAAATTCAAATCTTCTAGGATCTTTGTCTTTTCATCGGTCCAGTGTATCCCTTATCCTCGCTTCTCATTGTTTGTAACATGATCCAGTCGACCACAATCAGGAAGATCATCGGTGAAAGTAGGCGATAGCCTCGTCTCACTCCTATCTTCAGTTTGTCCAGTAGTTAATCACTAATATATCGCTTAGTAAGCGAATGCAATCTGTAGGTCAAAATATATATCATATTAAAATTCGGTAACAGGATTCCGTATTTCCGGCCTAATGGACTACTGCATATGGGTACATTAGTCACTTAGTTTGTCGTGAACTGATGGAGTGCTGATGGATTCACCCTTAGATCGTTCTACATTCTTATGTTAACACAGTCACTAATTTAGCTGCAATTGACCTAACCACATGATTTGGCTTATTCAGTCTTAATCCTGACTTTGAATACACTTCCCCAGTCTCGTATACTCCTCAATTCACCCATAGGAGAAGTTAAGCAATTTGCTCCTCCCCTCTAACCGCTTACAAAACTAGACAAAGTCTGGTGCTAATTGTCCGGATGCATTTCAGGCGATCTAATTCATCCGTATATTGTTATTACTATTAGTATTTTTCCCTTGGGTTCCTAGTGGAACATAGGGGCTTCAGCAGCACAAAGCCATTTCACTATCTTCTCTCCAGTTTCTTCAACCTGGCTCTACCAATGCCTATAACCTTTCATTTCTTCCTGATATCACCTCCTTCATGTCACCCTCGGATGCTCAACTCGTCCTTACCCATGCGGGCTCCACTCGATGGCCTGGCACGTGATGTCTCCAAATAGTCTCCTCAGTGTATCCATCTCAATTTCTTCTGCATATTTGTGGGGCGATAGATTATTAGTTGGTTGGTTTGTTAGCTGGTTCCATGTCGATATCGATGATGATGATGGTTCGTTACCATGCCATAGTGAGTTCCTTGTTGTTTATTCTTGCTGGTCGATCTTCACTATCGAATGAGCGTAGGTGGCAGCTGTTCATGTATGTCTGTAGTTTGTTGGAAGTGCTTTTCGTGACACGCCAAGTTTCTGAACCTTCACATAGCAGCACTGACTTGACTGAATTAGTGTTGAAAATCCGATGTTGTTCACGCTTTGTGCTGAGTGCAGTAGATCTCCACACTGATTTCAGATTGATGAAGGAAGGCCTGTCTTGGTGTCTTTCCCATCCTGGCTGGCTTTGACATCCTCGCCTGTGCCGCCACCTGTAGTTGTAACGATGCTGCACTGCCTAAGTAGGTGAAAGAGGCTACCTCCTTTAAGTTTCTCCAGTTGGTGGTGATGGGAGCTTGTTGTTGGTGGCATTGGTTGGGTATCATCACTTCTGTCTTCTCCACGTTCACTTGAACTCTCGTCTTTTCTGCCCTGCCTCTTCTATCAACTTGTTAGCTTTTGCCTGTAGATCTTCGAGATTGTGCGACATTAGACACAAATCATCATAGACGAAATCCAAATCTTCTAGGGTCTTTGTTTTTCATCGGTCAAATAGCGAGCGTGTGCCCATCTTCTCGCACCTCACTATTTGTTGCACAACAATCAGGAATGTCATGGGTGATAGTAGCCTTGTCTTACTCCTGTCTTCACTTCAAAGGCATCATTGAGCTTTCCATTGTGAATCCTTATAACCGGTTAAATGTTCAATGAATCTATGACATGACACTGACATGTTTTATGCTTATTTTCAGAAAAAAATTTTAAATATCTGAATAGATAAAAACTACGAAATTCATAAACAAAATCTTACATAAATTCTTTCACTCATCTTCATATTCTAAAAAAGAAAAATGATCGTAATTACAAAGGATTGATCGATTAGTTAGTGAATTTATAACTCTTTATCGATTTACAATAAAATAAACTTCTACTGTTGATTACTTTACTTACTAAATCGAAACAAAGTGAATTTAATTGTCTTTGTTCCATTGACGAATCATTGAATAGTAATATATATTGTTCAGGTACGTATTGATGACATAACAATAGGAATTTTCGTCCACTGAATAGTTGTTTATGTACAGCTTCACGTGACACTATGATAGAAGCAATAAACAATTTTTTTTCTAGCCAGAAGCACAACTGAAATGGTCTCATTTCGTAATATATTAAGCTTTAAACATAGCATACATTGTGAATAATTTTTATTGGTTATACAATAGCCAATCATAATAAAGCCCACTCATCTATGCAATATTTTTATTGGCTGTCAACTGTATTAGTTGACCTTGTGTTGATTCATATTGCTTTCAAAATGATTTGTTACATCCCTATGCAGATAGAATGACAGTAGCAACCAATCACGTGTCGTCATTCACGTGTTCGTCTACCCTTTCAAGGCCATGTACATTTTTTATATACCTTATTAAATATAGCGTAATTATTCATTATGTGTATTCTCTCTGAGCTATATGGTGTAACGTTACTGGCTGTTGAATGAAATCCGAGAATAACATCAGTTGTTATTCATCGTAGACTGATATCAGTTGGAGGAACAAAAGAAACCTGGGAGCACTGGATAGCTGTTTCGTCCCAGTATGGGACTCCTCAGCAGTGCGCACCCACGACCCCACCAGCAGGGATCGAACCCGCGATCTTCAGGTTCCGGGGCCAGCGCGTTACCATTGAGCCACTGGGTCAGAATCCAATGCTCCATATTTCGCTATATATCGTGAGCTAACAGAAGCTGGAAATATGGAGCATTGGATTCTGACCCAGTGGCTCAATGGTAACGCGCTGGCCGCAGAACCTGAAGGTCACGGGTTCGATCCCTGCTGGTGGGGTCGTGGGTGCGCACTGCTGAGGAGTCCCATACTGGGACGAAACAGCTATCCAGTGCCGCCAGGTTTCTTTTGTTCCTCCAACTGATGTCAGTCTACGATGAATAACAACTTGAAATAATTCTAAATCTCCACAACTCCCTCAAAATAACATCAGTGTTGGACAATCTCCTCATAATACGACCCAATAGGAAACCAAAACCGAGCTTAAGACTAATGATATATTGACCAAGCTGTCATGATTGGTATGTAATAAAACTAATTTACTGTTTTTATCAGATTAATTTATTCATAGACATTCACTTCAACAATAAAAGAAATATGAGTGCTAAAAATCAAGTTCTTTAAAGTCTTGAAGTGAGGATGGTTTCAAGGAGAATAGTACATCCTTCGAATTATACTGATTTCAAAGAAGTACAAGTAAATTTATAAACTTTTTTCAAAATAATTCAATGGTTTGTATTCCTATGTAGAGTATTATCTAAGCTATAGTCTAAGAAAACAAATCTGAGAACAGCTACAATTATTAGGCAAGCTAAAAATGATAGTTTTAACTAATTCTGGATTAAAAACTGGAATTCAATGAACAACAGCAAAGGTCTACTCAACTAGATGATTAATTTGAGAATGATTCACAAACTGTATGTTTAACACCTTGACATTCATCATGGCTGAGTAGTTTTTCAACTCTTGTGTCAATAGGTTTTCCATTGGGTAGCTACCTTCTGTTAGCCAATATCATAGGGTGGCATATGTGATACACTACCACCTCATTTACTTTGTGTATTGTGTGAAGAAAACGTCAGCCAGTTTACTAGTTCACTAGTTACTAGCCGGTCCGAGGCCCGGATAACGAGGGAAGGTTCGACATAGGGCTAGCAACCCTACACCGGAAAACCAATCTAATCGCTAAAGAAACTTCAAAGCACAAAAAAAATATGAAGAATGAAATTAAACTTATTTCTCGCTGGAATTGGAGAGACGAAATGACGCCGGTTAGTGAATGCCTCCAGAAGCCAGTCAGCTGATGTGTCTTCTCTCGTCTCGATAAAAGCGAAAGTAAACATGGGGACATGGAATGTCCGCACTATGTTTGAATCTAGCAAGGCTGCCCAGATTGTAAAAGAGATGAGAAAGTATAGCATAGAAGTGCTAGGCTGGGAATCTGTGAAAGCAGGTGGAATTGAAGTGGACTCTCTAAACGTTCAACTGGAGGGTCAATAAACTACTCCGGTCACCCACGCGAAAACCACCAGCCCACTGAGTTTTCGAGTGGCTATCATGATTTCCCCAACAGCATCGAAGGTTGTCATACCGTGGGAACCGATCTCTTCCTGCAGGATCATAACAGCGAGATTCAACTCAAAATGAAGGAAGGAAAGTCACAATCATACAATGAAACGCTACGCACCTACAAATAATACAGATGAAGAGAAGGAGGATTTCTATAGACAACTGCAAACAGTTCTGGAGAAGACCCGACCCCACCGTAAATGACGACATCGAAAATCTAATTGGTGATATGGATGGCAAACTGGGAGCAGACAACACAGATCATGTGTCGAGAAGTACTCGGTGAAATGAAAGAGAATGGAGAACTGTTTGCAGGCTTTTGCGCATTCAACGACTTGGTGATTGGAGGCAATGTGTAGAAACGCAAAGATATTCACAAAGCAACATGGATTCGATTTCACTAGATGGACACACTAAAAATCAGATCGACTTCATCTCAATCTCAAGAAAGTGGAGACGCAGCCAACTGGAGACAAGATCAGATCAAGAAGGGGAGCAGATGTAGGAGGTTAACATCACTCACTGTCTAGTGCAAGGAACCTACCTTCTAAATCAAGTTGAAAGCCTTCAAAGAAGTTGGTGATAGACCACAGTTCAAGTTCAACACCTAGAACAGAAACTGAAGGACAAAACTACAAACGACATCTCCTCAGTCACCCATCAGGAAAAAATCGGAGATATTGAGGAACATCCCTGAAGGAACCTGTGGGGAAAGAAACCTGCATAGCTATATTAGGAAGGAAGAGGAAAAAAGACAAGGAATGGATCTCCATAGACACATGAAAGCTGATAGAGTAGGGAGAGGAAGATGATGAAGCAGAAAATGAACCAGTTCAGTCCAGGGGTGACCAACAAAAAGAGGAACTGAATACAACCTATAAAACACTGGACAAAGAAGTGAAGAAGAGTGAGTGCAAAACATACGATACTTGTATGACACAATATTTTAAGTCATCAGTCACTAATGTAGAAGCCATTGGATTCGAATTTCATGTCACTGTGGGGTCAGAAAAACCTGATTCGATAATTGTATCCTACAGCTACTTAACTTTTGATCTAGTGAATTTATGAGAACTATTGTGATGCCCCAGTTTTGTACAAAACATTGTTATTTGATCTGAACATTTTAACGTGTTATTCCCACACCATTTTCTTTACGGTATGACTAATAGTCTATTTCTGCCCCAATTGTAATGTAAATCGCTGATTGGCTAATCTTTACTCTTACTATGCAAATGCCTCAAATTGAGGACAAGGTCATTTTTCATGTGTTTTGGATCGATTATTATTATTATTATTATTAGATTCTCGGGGTAATAAACTCTCCCATCTACCAGCTTCGGTCTTCTCTCTATTCGTTCTGGGGTTGAAGTCAGTGGCTCTTGCGTACTGAGTTAACTGTCAGCTAAGCGTGTGCGTATTATATTCGTTCCGGAATATAGAATGGCAGTCAACGGGATCTTCACCTCAACTTCGTTGACTTTTAATAGCCCTTCGACAGCGTTGACCGAGAAGTAATTTGGCAGTTGCTTCGACACTACGGCTTTAGTACCACAAACCTTTATCAATCTCATTCAACAACTATATGACGACGCCACATGCCAAGTAATTCACAATGGGAAGCTCAGTGATGCCTTTGAAGATAGGAATAAGACAAGGCTGTCTACTATCACCTATGATATTCCTGATTGTGGTCAACCGGATCATGCAACAAACAGTGGGGAGCTGTGAGAAGAAGGGGATACACTGGACTGCGGAAAAGAACCTAGAAGATCTGGATTTCGCCAGTGATGACTTGTGTCTGATGTCACACAAACTTGAAGATCTACAGGCAAAAACTAACAAGTTGACAGAAGAGGCAGGGCAGGGCAGCGAAGACGGTACTTCAGGTGAATGTAGAGAAAACAGAGGTGATGAAGATACCCAACCAACGATGAACTTTGACCAAGTAACGAACCAACGAAACAAGAAGCTGTCGCTCAACAAATATGCAGCAGGAAGTGGAGATGAATTGGGCATACACTGAGAAGAACATTTGGGGACATCACGCGCCAGGCCAGGTACTCGAGTGGAACCCATATGGGAAGTAACGAGTTGGACGCCCCAGTTGAGGGTGATATGGAGGAGATCGTGGGAAGAAGAAATGAGAGCTTGTGGGCTGTCGTGGAACCAGGTTCAAAAGTTTTCAGAGAACAGAATGCACTGGAGACGAGCTAATGAAGCCCTATGTTCCATTAGGAACCCAAGGGACAAGTAATAAATAATAATTCAGCGGTGGCTGTTATACACTACCTTGCAAAGTGAAAATGATGGTACTCCTCTCCAAAGATCCATTCACCGAAGTACTTCATAGAATGGTCTATACCTAGATTTCTACACCTTATGTTCAGTCGATTTTAAACTAGAGATAGAAGGATGTGTTGAAGTGATTACATTGGAAGAGGATTTACTGATCACTGAGAAGACTCTACGAGACAACATTTACGCTCAGAAGCCTATCAATCAATACCGGAGGTCTTGGGGAAATTATTTAAAGAAACTTTTTGTAGGCAAGAAGTTTGTTCCCATCCAAGATAACTTCAAAGGTGATGACATCTCCGAAAGAACTAATGGGAAGTGGAAAGCTCCACTGAAACACAACAAATCATCCAACCATGTTGACCCCTTCCCATAGAACAACATACTGCTTAGTACCATCAACACACAGCAGTCTCCTTTCCCATATCACCTCTAATTGTTCGTATAAGTTTACGTACATCTTCAGAAGAAAAGAGAAAAGACTATACCTTAGAATATTTAAACACATAACAAGGAGCTTGGTACTCAGGGGAATAGATGCTTTCAGCAGTACATTCACTCGACATTTTATCAACACAATGTTAACAACAAACCACACAATTCAAATATTCTCAAGTTTATTGAAGTTGTGGCTACCATTCGACTGAAACCGGTAACTGGTGGGATCAACTAAGTAGGACATGAAGAGAGTTGTTCAACGATGGTATTGGATGAATGTTCAGTGGCACAATGATAGCATATTAGGCATGGAACTGAAGGACCCAGGTTCGGTCCCCAATAGCGTCAAAGATGTGTACAGCTGAGGAGTTACATTCTGGGACAAAACAGATATCTAGCACTTCCGTGCTTTTTCCGGATGTTTCATCAACTGACATCAGTTCACCATGAATAGCAATCTGAAATCGGTAAACGAATCCCCACAGCCCTTCACAGTGAATTAACTTCATTCAACTATCCAAGTTGGGGTGATCGGTTAGCAAAAGT